TTCAAGGGATCTCAAGAGAGGCTAAAGGAAACTGAGCGAATCTAAAAGAGGCAATAGAATGCAATAGAGATCAATAGGACTCAATAGAGTTTGATAGAACATATTTTTTCACTATACAATGGAGACCTTGGGTTTGCATTTCTAGCCTGGGCACTATAAAATGGAAACAGTGCTGCAAGCCCATTTACAGGCAAAGCTTGGAGGACAACTTCCACCGGGAGCTCCTGTTCCAGATGCAGCAGAACGGACAGAAGAGGTGTCTCGGGATGTGTTGGGAATTCTTGGAATATCTTAGGATTCTATACCAGCATTTTTTTATACAGATATATATTATTATATATTGTTATACAATACTATATAATATTATATTATATATCATATAAGATTATTAGATGATTTCATGAGATATTTGCAGTCGGTGAACCTTTTGACGGGATGGGTGTGCATGGTTCGGGCGCGCAGCAGAGGCGAGCGTTTATTTTATAGTGTGCGTTTGGGTGCGCAGCTGATCGTATTCCATTTTATAGAGGGAATTCCCGGAAACGGATGCCTGCAATTTTCCTGTTGGGTTGGCTAGAAGCGGGGCCAGGCGCCATTGCAGCTCTTTTTCGGGCATCCCCTGAGAAGGTTCAAGGTAGCGCTAGAATTTATATAATCTAGATTAATCTAGAATATACTAGACTAATCTAGACTAAACATGAATTTACATGAATATACTAGAATATGAAGGGAATGTGTCGCCGTAGCGCCCCCGAAACGAATGCCCCAAACCAACCCGGGATGGGCCATTGCAATTCTTTTTGGGGCATTCGCTGAGAAGGCTGAAGTACAACTGCACTACTGGAATTTTCTCGCGTGAGAGTTGTTGCAGTGTCAGGACAAAGAACCGGTATGAACCGGTACAATATTATACAGAAGGCCTCTAAGTAGGCCTCTAGGAAGGAAGGATGTGGCTTCCAACGTTCTTCACTTGGTCCAGTTGGTAAACGGTCCTCTTTCCAACATTCTTCGGTTGGATACGGCTGCTGCCTGGTATCCCCCCTGGTGGTTTGCTTCCCGCGTTTTAGTCTTCCAAGCAAAGACCCGAACAATCCCAAAGGCCCCCTGAATACCAGCGAACACGGGAGTGTTGACGATGGACTGACTGTGGATTGGTGATGTCATCTCGAAGGCTACGACATCTCCGGGCACGTCCCACTCTCCTGGGAGCACACTCCATGCACGTTTGCCGCAACCTTCGATGAGGAAGAGATGCGAGGGACGAGCAGGGATTCATGTCTTGGACCTTCGAGATTGCGTTAGGATGCGTTAGGAGGTAGCGCTTGGAGGTGGATAGCGATGATGATGGACGCCAAGGATAGCGCCTTATTAGATCTTATTAGCATATATTAGCATCATGCAGGATCTGCGGTGCAGATCTGGGGAGCTTGAAGCGTGAAAGCGGCGAAAGCCGTGAGCTTTCGTTTGAGTTCCTGGCACACACGCCCGCGCGCCCGCACACGCGTTCCAAGAAAGGCTAAAGCACCAAGAGAACCCAAGAGATGGCAATTTTCCGCTTGTTTTCGGCTTTGGAGCTGGGTGAATTTCTTAGTATTGACAAGTGACCTGGGGACCCGTTTTTTGATCTAAAAAACGGGCCCCCAGGACACTTGTTAAAAGTGAACCCAAAGTGGAAAATTGCCACCAAGAGAGGTCAAGAGGACACAAAAATGATGCAGACGGTAAGGGTCCTTACCGTCTGTATCACTTTTGTGTCCTCTTGACATCTCTTGGCACCTTCAACCTTTTCCATTTTTCCTATGATTTCCCATGTCTGTATCCAGCCGCGTCGCCTCGAACAGGTTGCAGAGCCACCGCTCCCTCCACCAGCTGTGGCACCATCGCGACCCCCGTCTCCAGAGCCGACTTGCCGACAGTTACCGAAGGACTTTGCAATACTTTGCAAGTCTTTGCAACCTGTTGCTTTTTGTTTCTTGTGGTCGGTTACCTCCATTTATCCATTTGGAATAACGCTAGAAATCGTTATATAGTTTTGAACTGTTTTGAACGATTTTATTTTTTTGAGTCATTTGGCTGGACAATGCTGGACATATCTGAACATGTCTGAACTATTTTGAGCACTCGTTTCTTTGTAGTGAGGACTGTGAGCCTTCTGGGGAAGACCGTGACGCAAAATTGTGGGCCGAGCTGGACCGTGCTGCGGAAGAGTGCCCAGGCTTTTCGTTGGCAGTTCCACCCCCGCCCCAGCCGAAGAAGAGTGACCAGGCCGAAACAGCTGTTCATAGTGCGCCCATCTCTGAATCCAGGCCACGGACCAAAGTTGAATCGGCGCCAGTCAAATTGGAGAAGGTTTCGCCAGCAGTGAAGGGTGAGCCAGCTCATCAGGCAAAGGGGCAGAGACTTGAGAAGACCATGGCTGAAGTGCCTGCCAAAACAGCAGTTCAGACAGCGCCAAGCCAGGTGCCAATCAAATCGGCGCCAGTCAAAACTGAAAAGTGTTTGCCAGCGGAGATTCGTACTGCAAAGGTAGAGAAGAACGAACCAGTTCATCCTGCAGAGGGGCAGGGACTTGCACTTTGTCATGTGAAGGCAAAGGCTGAGAAATGCCAGACAAGCAAGCCGAAGCAGGAGGTGAAGGAAGAGAAAGAAAATGAAGCGCGTCCAGAACTAGGCCGGCCATGAAATGTTTTTGTTTTAGTATATTTTAGTATATTTGGCTTCAATAGAATAGAGTTTGCAGTAAGAAGCAAACCCTTCTTGCTTATAGAATGGCGCACCCAGTGCATTTTGATATATTTTAAATTATTTTAATATATTTTAATAAGATTTAGTAATATCCTTTGAATTCTTTGAATATCTTTGTCTTCTATAGAATGGACTTTGCAGTAAGAAGCAAGCCCTTTTTGCTTATAGAATGGTGAACCCAGTGCCTGACCAACACAGGCTGAGAGGACGCAAAAGGGATCATACCAGCCTTTGGTCCTTTTGCGCCACCAAATCCTTTTGTAGGGATCCTTTTGCGTCCTCTTAACCTGTCCTCAAAATTGTACAAATAGATTATCATAAATTCAAATTGCGCCACCACGGAACAATAGTGTTTCCATGTGTGTTTCCCCTTTTATAGATCAGGCCTGATCAGGGGTCCCAAGAATATGAATGATATGTTCCATTCCCCCTCATTTGCTCTATAGAATGGGTAATTTGTACAAAAAATATGTATGGTCACCATTTTATAGAGAGCATTTGGTGGTCCCCCATTCTATAGAGACAATCGGCGCAAAAAAAAAACAACAACACGTGTCAGGTGCGATTCCAGGAATGGAGAAGAGGATCCTGGACTACGCAGAAAAGGTTTCCCAAGATGGTATGTACCTAGAGCTTTTGGACGCGGCGATGTTCTCCCTGCAACGCGGAAAGGTTTTGCACCTAGTGTTGCCTTACGATGATGGTGAGACGCTGGCCTTGTTCAGCTTTTTCTGTCGTTGTCGGAAGATGTCAGTAAGTTTCCTTGTATTTCAACAAGCAAAACAAATCCGTTAAGTTCCTTTGAGATTTTTTGAGATCCTTTGAGGATTGTTTCGGAATGTTTCGGATGTTTTTCGGATTTTTCTCGGATGGCTTGGCTTCAGGATTGATGTCACTCCAATCTCTCATTGGATCAACGAGATGTCTGGCGGACAGGTCCAACTGGACATGAGCCGCTCCGCTAAGGTATCGGACCGCTGGTACTTGTGTTGCTGCAATAGCGATTTCGACTTGAGTCCCAGTGCAGTTCGCAATCACTACATTCCGGCATTCCACAAAACCATGTTGTCGGACGATGACTATTTCCGTTTGACCACGGAGGCCTTGCTTACTACCAAGCAGGAGATTGGACGACTGCAAGCGAAGTATAAGCGAGCGCTGACAACGGAGTCAGGAGATGGAGCAGTTCAGAAGTCCGTTCTTGAAGATTTGGACAGGGAGAGAAAGAAGATCCTTGAAATTCATTGAACATAATTGATTTTTCAAGAATTTTCAAGAAATTCATTGATCCTTACAACCCAGTCACGACTGCGCCTGTCGTATATCCAAGGAAGACCGCCTGGATCAAGTTGATCATGGACTGTGAGGAGAAAGGCCTGGCCTTGATGGCTGTTCCTGGAGATGGGAACTGCATGATTTGGTCTTTTCGGGCATTGTTGGCTAGTGGCGGTGATGGTTCTTCTGTTTTTGAAAGCTATCAAGCCATGAGTGAGCAAGAGAAATTAAGATCCCAACTCAAGCAGGGCTGGATTTCTGTTCGCAAAGATCCATGCTTTCAGCATTTGTTTGCTGTATGGAATGATGATCAGTTTGCTGCGGGCCCGGAGCCTGATGCTGCCAACACGTCAGAGGCTTCCCAGAAGACACCTGAAAAGACAAAGAACACGGACAATAAGCAAAGAGCTGCAGAGCTAGACTCTGTGGACTTGGTAACCCCTGAGCGAGTTGCGCAACCCAAGAAACGTACATTTTCCAGGGTTGGTCAGGGGAAGCCTGTTCCGTTGGTGGCCCAATAACCTTCCAAAGAGCCTGAGTTGAAAGCGCCTTGTCCGACAAAGAAACGTCGGAAAGTGCTAGAGCCGGCAATTCCTGATGTGGAGGAGATTTTCTCGGAGATGCAGTTGAAAGCGCCAGACCCTCCAGCCATTGAGGACATTGATTTGGAGAACTTGGACGAGGGCAACTTGTATGCAAGCGATGAGGAGAATGGTCCACGCCGGCAGCGTGCTCAACATCAGCGGACATGCAAGACTAAGACCTTGTCGCAATCCCAGGTTCAGAAGAAGATGTTTGGTGACTGGCTAGCCAAGCGTGGTCTCACATACGAGAGATTTCGGGCCATGCATCAGGCCCATTGTCTGGTGAAGTCGGCTGCTTCGTGTGTGGAGGGTGGGTTTGTGAGTTTCAAGGACAAGTTGCTGTCCAAGACTGAGATCAAGTGCACTGCTTGCCAGACCCTTGTGGACATGCATGTTACATCTGTGGATGACTTCATCTCACATACAGAGACTCTTTCTGTAGTAGCTGTCGACAAGGCAGGGCAGGAGGCGCAGAATGAGCCAAGGAACCACCCGCGCCAGACTGAAGAGGAGGAGATTGAAGCCTGCGTGAAGTACTTGGGCCAATTCCCAGAGATTGAGGCGCTCACAAAAACAATGCCCAATGTTCCTGGTATCAGGCTCTTTTACAGATGCTTGATTTGCAAGACACGGCGCCAGAAGGACGGCAAGCTCAACAAGTTGGGGAGACCCAAGTTGAAATCCGTTCAACATTTCCTGGAACAGCATTTTGACAGCAACACTCACGTCAAGAATATGAGAGCAGCACACCAAGCTGCCGCAGATCAAGACGGTTCCGCTGAGACTGACAGCCAAACTTGCAAGGGCTATTGCGCGAGTGATCCCAAAAGTACTGGAGCCTTGAAATCATATCTTGAGGACTTCAAAAGATGGACACATTTCACGAGTCTTAGTGAAACAGCATCGCACAAGTACTACACTGACCTCACTTCAGATAGTTGGTACATCAAGAGCAAGAATTGCCTAGGCAACTTTTCAAGTCCTTCATTGTGTTGCTCGGCATGCAACATACTGGGCGACGCGAGGAAAGGAGTGGTCAGGTATGTGAGCCGCTTTTCCTTCAAGTACAATGCTGCGACTTTGCTCAGCAAACGGATGTTCAGCCTGGAGGACGAGGCCCAGAAGTTCTTGACAAGCCTCGCTGAGACAACCTTTGGCAGAGTTCATGTGAAAAGGTGGAAAAGAATATCTGACTTGCAGACACACCAACTTCAAAAGTGTGTGCGGCAGATGTGGCAGAAGAACCAAGTCCAAACGGAGACCCCAGCATTTGAGGTCTTTCGCTCCTCAGTGGTGGTGCCGTGTCTGAGTGTGCAGAGCAAGTCCATCAATGAGAGGATGACCACACTTTTTGCAGGTTTTGCAAACGCGTTGTCTTCAGAAGATATGACTGAGTTGCAGCAGGTGAACTTCCAAATTGCGCAGGCGGCCATTGGTGGCCAGCTCGACCGGAATCCGCTGATTCAAGGCATCCTGGTTCAGTGCCTTCGGAAGTTGGATAAGGAGGGCAGGGGTATCAACACTCTTCGAGGGAGAAGAGGTGCCTGCACAGACACGGAGGTAACATTGATAGAGGACGCAGCCATGACGCTGACCATGGCTTCTTGCAACAGAGCTCTAGCCCAGGAGATGGGTCAGAATGCCACGGCCCCACGGTTGAAAGTTGAGGAGCTTCCTGAGGCACACTCGCTTCCAAATCCAAGCTTAGCTATCGACTTCCCCGACCAATTCGCCAACAACTTGGAGCTGGTAGACTCACAAATTGGGAAGCAATCTTCAGATCCTCGCTGCAGGCTGATCATGGCCATCGACCACACATATCTTCTCAAGTGCTTTGTCCAGGGACGTATCAGAGGGGAAGCCGGTATGCTCGGAGGTCCTTGGCACTATGATGACTCTTCTGCTGCCTTCATGAAGTTCAATGAGATGCCGGACAACGCGTTGAAGAAGGAGAAGGCCGGACTGATGTTGGAGTGCCTGGTATGGTCGCCCTGGGCACCAGTCAGGCAGTGCTTCTCGGTCAACAGTGTCCCCATGACTCTGGCACGTCGAAAGAAGGATTCGGCAGACACCCTTACCAAGCAGGGGAACTTAGTGCCTTGGCTGACTATAAAATGGGTTTCCAGGGCTCACACCACAAAAACATAATTATATAGAATGGGGCTACCCCGGGCAATCTCCAAGCCGATGTCATCAGATTTCCATTTTTCTAGTCAATTCTATTCTATAGAGACTTCCATGGGTCATGCTCACCAGGCCCCAATTTTATAGAAGGGTATTTCTCTTAATTTCTCTTATGTTATCTTATGTTGTTGAATTTTGTTTATATTTTGTAAATGTTTTCTTCAGTTTTCTAGATTTTTTATATTTTTTTTATTGCCCTGCCATATCCTGTCCTTCTTTCAAGGAAATGCTGCACATTGTCTCCAGATTGTTGGGATCCGGTGCCCACTTGGTGAAGGGCATCACTTTTGATGCTCATATGTCGCATGCATACTTCAAGGAAGCCCTTTTTGGTTACTTTGAGACAGCTAAGAAGGAGGAGTTGCCATTGTCTGAGCTACCGTTCTTTTGTGAGGTGGAGTACATTCCCTTGCCGAGCCACGCGCTGCCAAGGTTGCCCATGAACCTGTGCCGCTACAAAGGTGAGTTCATTTGGCCCTTGCCTGGCAGTTGTCCCTTGGATTTGACAGGGTTCCATTTTTGGGGGTCTTGGATTGTCTATAAAATAGTTGCTCACATTGGTTCCCAAAGGGCGCCCTCTATAAAATTGGTGATTGCGCATTCTGGCCCGGGCCTTTTCTTTACTAGATTTTACTATTTTACTAGTATCATAGTTGTTCTTGTCCTTTCTTTGCTAGATACTTCCAGAAGCTTCCAGAATCTTTTAGAATTTACTTGTATGATCTTGTAATATCTTGTATATACTTGTGGTATCTTGTGGTATCTTATGGTGCCTGTTGAAAGCTATCTGGCGTTCCATTTTATAGAGCGCAAAATCTGTGACAATAGGTACATTTCCCATTCTATAGAGTGGAGATGTGTGACAAGCCAGAACTAAAACACCCTGAAAAAATCTGACACCAATTGAATTCATTTCAATTCATTGTTGCTGTGATTATCCATCGAGGTCACGCTGCGAAATGTGCGGCAGGGCAACTGAACTCGCCCTTGCGATGCTTGATGTTCGGACGCTTTGTAGCAGACAGCTCCCATGCAAGATCCTATGGGCTACCTCCGGCGGCCTACGCCAGGAGCGAGCCTATGAGTGACTGGCTCCACGCAATGCTGTACAACCCGTACTACACTGTGCGTTCACCAGCAACTTGACTTCTCTCAGTGTGCAAATGAAATATGACTGACTGGCTCAAAACGGTCCGTTTCTGTCGCAACTTGTCTTTTTCGAGGACTGTTGAACTGTCGTATCGTGTTTCCACGAGGATATTCTCACCGGTGAAGCAGACGTCCCTTGGCAACTGCGGGGATTTTTGGTATTCAACCTGACGGTAGCGTTGTGTACAGCAGCTTGTTCGTGCATTGGTCAGCTTTGGGCACAGCGCAGGTTTTTTTGTTGTTTTTTTTAGAATATTATGATTGCGATGCTATGCGTTATGATGCCGTGTGTCATTAATTGTCATTATGTTTTTTCTTGTGATTTCAGCCGGCTGTCGGTTGGCATCCTTCACGTTCGGTAAACATGAGGCCGTGACAATGCACAGAACAATGGCAGTGGTTGAGCGCTGTCAGAACGCCATGTGTGGCTTTCTGCTCATCGACCTTTTTGGCATGCTGGCCAACTTGGAGTGCTCAAAGCGATCTTTACCACGAGGATCACTGTCAATGGCACCGCAGACGGCTCGCAATCTACAATCTGTTGCCTTGAGTGTCATCGGAGTATGTGCTACATTGGGCAGCCAGAGAAGCCCGTGGCAATTGGGCCACAATCGCATGACGGAATTACCGATCGAGGAATGGTTTGGCAGGCTCCGGACACAGATGGCGAGTGCGCAATTTAGCGTCAGAGCCTTTTGGCAGGCCGCAGCGCGCCAGATGATCAAGCAGCAGAGGTGCAAACCAGAGAAGGAGAAAAAGGTTGGCAGCATTCCCCCTCCCTCGCCTGAGCTCTCGCCCAGTGACTTCTTCGAAGCCAGCGAGAAAGCGCTTAGTTCAGCATACCGCTTTGTGGCTTTCTGCGCTGGAATAACTCCGGCATCCCTCGAAGAGGTATACAAGCAGCATTGCAAAGACAATGTCCAGAGCCCCGATGACCTGGCGGATCACGAATGGGAAGACGACTTTTTGGATGAAGAGAATGTAGATGAGGTTGAAGCCCAGCAAGTTGTTCAGCACCTGCAGGAGGAGGCTCAGTTGACAATGGCATGTGCTTCTGATGACTTTGAGCTGGAAGCTGATCTGCAAGCAGCTGATTTGGGGAAGAATATGCCAGACATGGCTGATTTGCGAAATGTCATTGATGCCCCGCAGGATGCTGCCGATTGCGCTGCCCCGTTTGGCCACAGGAACGAGGGATACTTGGTTGATCTTGGGGTTTTACATGGTTCTACCTTAGAAAGAAAGGAGCTGGCCACACTGATCTTGGGAATTCTTCGGAATTCTTCGGATATCTTAATTATTCTTGGGTTGACTAAAACTGGTCCAATATGGTCCAATAAATTCCAATGATGTCCAATATTGTCCAACAATGTCCAACTAATTCCAATTATATTTGTATAATTTATTATAGTTTTGTATAATTTTGATTAATTTTGTATATATTTGTTATATTTTGTGACTATTTTTATTTCTTTATGGATTATATTGGATTATTCTGGTTTCTTCTTGTGTCACACAAGCAAGGACCAAAAAGCGAACAGCCACGGACACTGCATCATGCGGTGTGTTTCATGACTGGCCCTCTGACAGCATCGGCCATGTTCAACAGGATCTGGAGGCTCGTCATGTACCTTCGGTACTGGCAGGATGGCGGTGACAGGCACTGGATCCCGAACCCCAGGAATAGCAGACGGACAAGCTCGAAGCTGAATTGGTACCAGCCTCTCGCTGGCGCATGTTGTTTTTCGGTGTGTCTTTTTTCTGTTTTCTTGCATTCTAAAATTTTGTTATATATATTTTGTTAGTATTTGTTAGTCTTTTAGGATCTTTTAGGACTGTGTAAAAATGCTTCAAGCATGTTCAAGCAGACTAAATCTCTATATAATGGACATTCTTCAAGTTTAATCAATCTCCTTTCTATAAAATGGGCTTCGTTGGGGCTGCATACAAGAGTCTTTGTCTATAAAATGGGACTCTTCTGGTGTTCTTTGATGTCCAAATCTTTTGCCCAGGTTCACCCAGATACTACCAGTATCCTCCAGGATCCTCCAACAATCCAGGACATTCTAGGGCCATATAGGGCAATGATGGAATGAGACACATACCCCCTGAAAATCCTTCAGAGAAGTCCTTCAGAGCCCTATTTTATAGACTGTAATAAAGCGAATCTAAGGAATGACCCACCATTTTATAGGGTTTGAATGGGAAGAAAAACATCTTGTCAGGTGGAATGAGAAGAAGATCAAGGAATTGTCCATGGAAGAGGACGATGTGAAGTACAGAAAGAGAGCCGGGCGCTTGGACAAGTGGAAGCAGCTTGCGCGAGAGGCCGCAGACCAGCGGGCCCAGAGCACTGGGCAGAATATTACGCTGCCTGAAAGTATCGAGTGTCGTGGCGCGTAAAGATTTTTTGTGTTTTTGAATTTTGTTGTTTTTGTTTTTCTGAAACCTTCCGGAACATTCCGGAACCGATTCCAGATTCTGACATGTCAGGTCCGGAAACATCGTGCTCGCGGTTGTCTCCAGAAAGTGGCGTGGTGTCAATGTGCGATCGGGGATTATCGGCATGGTGCTGACGATTTGGGTGGGGGCAAAGAAGCCCAGGCCAGCCACAAGGCAAATCAGCATCAAACAAGCCGTGGCAATCCGCGTTGTGGAAATGCAGCCGGCCTCGCCAGATTTCCACGACAAGTACACAGCGTCAGACAAATCTATGGTCTTCATGCTGCAGCCACATTGCATCGTGTCTGTTCTGGACATTGTTGAGCACGAGAACACGTCAGAGCTGACCACAGTGACGCTCAGTCCTGAGTCCATCTTGCTCGCAGGGCAGATGGATTCCATTAGTGAGTGGTGGCCGCCTTCGGATCCGGCAGACCCGAAGAATGCTGCTCAGGGAGACTTGTATCCTGCTCGAAAACGTGGCAGAAAGAAACGCCGTGCCAATGAGAAGGAGAAGAAGACGGCGCCCAAGCCCAAGCCCAAGAAGAAGGGATTGAAGAAGGCAAAGCAGAACAAACGCAAAGGTGCCCTAGCTCTGGATTCAAGCTCAGAACTTCCTGCATCGGCTTTCAAGAAAAGTCTGTCTGGCAAAGCGTGCGTGGTTGCAATGATGGAGAAGATTCTTGTCGCGGACCGCCAGAAGTTTGAGCAGCGCCCGCTCTTCACGGTGGATGGTCTTTGCCGGATGAAGGTTGGGAAATGCAAGAATGTTGAGTGGTCCAAGATCCGAGATGAAGCCTACCATTTCTTTCTCGCATTGCGCTTAGGCTTCTTTTGGATTCTTTTGGTTTCTTTCGTATGTTTATAGTAGTCTTTGTATTTTTGTATGATTTGCAATCTTTTGTAAATGAAATCAAAGCAAATCAGGTATTCTACCAAGGCAGGTATCCGGTGGAGTGAAGCTGTGCATGGACGCTTGCAGCAGACGTTGAGGTCTCTTGAGAAAGAGGTCCCCAATCGCAAGCCGTGGCTCCGCCTCATCAAAGAGATTTGTGACAAGTTCTGCTGAGGGTCCCTGATGGGGTTGGTGAATGAGAGATGGTGGGAGTGATAATAGATCACCTTAGTGTGATCCGTTGAGAGTTTCCCGACGGCTCCTGATGCACGTAATTGAGTAGAAAATGTTACAAGATGTTGCATCTCTTGCAATGTCCACTAGGTAGGGTAGGGCTGATTTCCTCTGGCCAGTTAGCGTTTGCGTGTGGTGTTGCAGTATGTGGTATTTCTGGAATTTTCTGGATGTTTGTTTGATGTTGTTTGTTTGGCTGTCAGAAATCTGATGAATTTTGTATCATTTTGATTCATGTTGCATCATTTTTCCCGTGTGTGTGAGAGCCCGTGCGCCCATTGTATGACTGATGTGGGTGCTGCAATGAAAGCACGGGTGGCTGGAGGAAGCAGGATTCCATAGACATCTACGGAATTCTACGGACCGCTCAAATCCACTCAAGGTGGAGTGAAAAAAAGGCGCGAGAGAAGCTTCCGTTTAGAATGTCCGATTTGTTGTGTTTCTGCGTGGTTTTGTTCTCCTTGGAATTCAGCCTCTATAAAATGGGTCCCTTCCAAGGCTAAACACATTGATGTTGCTTGATACAAATTGTGCAATAATCATGCCTTTGCCCTGGTGAAGCATTCTATAGAGTGCTTTCTTGGTGCCCTGTAGAAATAAAGCATTGTCAAAATCTACCTTGGGTGCACCATTCTATATACATGCGCTTTTGTGGAGTGTGCCCTGGTGAATCCATTCTATAGAGGGTGCCCCCCCAGCAAATTTAAAAAACCAAATTATAGCTATAGAATGGGGACCCCCAGGGTTGAGGTTGAATTCCAAGGAGGATCAAAAAACCAACTACCCAAAACACGCCGTGCTCCAGGGCCGGCGGATTCAAAAACGATAAACCTGTACACAGGCCTGACTGTGAGTTACAAAATGACCCTAAATTGGCTCAACTCGGTGTGTTCCTAAATGACCCGTTTTCCTGTGAGAAACATGTAGGCTCGACTTGGAATGCTTTGTATACAGCAATGAGTAATATATGATATATGCATATATGTGCAGTGTTTAGAGTGGAACGTGCAGGCTTTTCCGGCCCCCAAGGTTGTAATTATATACGTGCGATTTGTTTTTTGTGCAGTGCAACCAACCACAGCGCAACTTTTGGCCTTTGCAGCTAAGTGGATTGCTTGGTTGCCACACCCGCAAACACAAAACTTGATGGTTCGTCAAATTCTTGATGCTTTGCAGAATGTCCATATGGACGCCCACGCCTCTATTCTCGTGGAGTTCACGCAGCAAGTTGAGAAGGGAAACTTCACGGATAGCCAGGCCTTCGAAACCTTGCTTGAGGTCGGCGAGGGGTGGGTCTTTGGGCTTGTGCCAAGCTTCTTGGCAGTCATGGTAATCATTGGGATGGTCTTTGCGGGCCTCGTTTTCCTCACTATTTGCTGCGCCATATCCTGCAGTGAACCTGGTCCCCGCGCTTATATGTCGTTGGTGGAGGTTGATGACTCACAGTCGGCAAACGAGACTGGAAAATGGGACAAGGATCATTTCAAAACGTCTATCAATGACATGAGCAAGATGAAACAAAAGGTATTGATGAAACTGGTTGAAATGAAGCTTGGAGACCAAGCTCGGACAGCCACTGCCGAGTGCATGCGTGAGGCACAGGCTGCTTTGCCAGATCGCTTGGAGGAGGCAAACATCAATCCATTTGAGGCCCGCAAAAACATTTTGGCCAAGAAGAACGATCCATATGGTATGACAAAACTGATTCAACGTGTGCTGAGTGCCTTCATGTTGCAACACGGGCCAACCATTGCTCAGCAGGGCTTAGGTGGCCTTGGCTTGGCTGCGTGCGGCAGTTTTCTTTGTGGCGGTGACCTTCAATACAGGCTGGATGATTCTGGTTTGCACAAATGTGAATGGAAATGCTCCGAGGGTTTCGTGCCGGATGAGTTTCGACTCCTGCAAACTCGTTCTTTGGATTCCGGTGAAGCCACCCGCAATCTGGAAACCCTGAAGCTCCTGAAAAAAGACGCAGATGAATTCCTGAAGGCCGAGCAGGAGGCTGAGAGGACTGCGAACCTTGAGAAGTCTAGGGCCTGGGACAAACTTGGGGAGCGTAATGGGCAAATTGCCATATGACTGGGGAAGGGCCTACTCCAAGTCTGACCTCAAGTTGCTGCAGATGGCCTCGCCTTCAGCGATGGGTGAATTGGTGGCTCCGATGGCCTTGAGGTATGAAGGCAAGTGTGATCTTTAAAGGCAGCAAGTCGGAGATTCCAGAAGGCTCTATGGTCAAGATTCATGAGTGGACACCTTACCGCCACTCCACCATGATAGATTACCTCGGAGTAAGGGTTCAAGTGTTGAAGTCAGAGTTGGAGGGTGTCGAACCTCAGCTCCTTCCCATCCAATTGAGCCCCGAAGTTCAGAAGTGGTTGCTGGCCACGCAGCAGACTCTTCAAGTTAAGCTCCCGACACTAGGTGACCCGAGTCGATTGACAGATACCTTCTGGGTCTCGGCGGATGGCGGCGCACCGGACCCATAACATATGCCCCAATAGACGGTCTGTGCAGCGTGCAAAACGAACAAACAAATATGTACATTGTACATATACAAATTATATAGCTGTTTTGGAATAGATTGCGTTTCAATTGGAGGACAAGGCAATTAAACAAAGATAAACAAACATACCGAGCATAACTTCGGCACAACTCAAGAGACCCGAGACCCGGAGACATTCAAACAGACGAGGCAAAGAATCTCTATTTCAGAAAGTGCTAGGGAAGGAATAGAGGGCGCTGAAAAACGAAAGGAAAGAGAAGGTCACATATTCGCGGGATATTATATGTATCTTGCATTGTAGGGCGGAATGAGGAAATGGGTAGTGTGCATTATTCATCGGAAGATTTGGCCAAACATTTCTTTGTTTGGAAACCCTTAAATCCATCTGTTTGATTTACATGTCACGAAAGCTAGCATCAGCTAGCTGGAGTTGCTCTTGCTTTAGCAAGTCAAGGGCTCGCAGCCTCGAGAATCATGAATCACGTGAAAACTTCACGTGTAGGGGGCCCCCCCCCCCCCCCACCGCGGGTTCAACTCCCCCCTGGGACGCTTCCGGTACGTGCTATAGTGCTATGTTTAGGTGGCAGGTGAAGTAGGCCACTGTTTGAGTTTGGAAGGGGGGGCATGAAACATGAAATTTACGCGAGGGTTCAAGGCTTCAATGATGAGCAACACGGGAAGTCAGAAACCAGGCGTATCAGATACACGTGCCTTTGAGCTTCCTTCGGCATCTCAGTGCATATGGCTGACACTTCACTCGACAAAGATGCTCAAACAAACATACATAAGCCAGGTGTATCTGATACGCCTGGTTTGTGACTTCCCGTGATGCTCATGATGCTGCGTTGCTTTTCTTCAGTCCCTCATTACATATACATGACGATCCAACAGCAGATTCAACAAGCTCACATGTTCATGACATCGACATCGATAGAAGAAACCAAACAAATCATGCAAGCAGCTTTGTTTTGCCTCTGGGACACCTCTTGGGCACCTCTTATGGCATCCACACTGGTTCAACTCCTCCATGGAGGTTTTGGGATACAGCGCAACAGATTCAACAAGCTCACAGGTTCGTGAACACATCGGATGCATCGAACAGTGTGGCAAAGTCCAGCCACGCTTCCTTAATTATCGGGGACTTCAATTCTAAGGTTGGCTGTGTCATTGCTGTTTGTGTGTCTTACATGTTCACAACCTCATGAGCATTTGCCTCACTCCGCTTGATGTCCCACCAGTCCGGATGCACCCCTGCTAGCTTTCGTCACCTACCCTCGGCCTCAAGTATTATACCAAACAATGGCTTGTTCGAACGATCGAATGCGGTCCCTTGCCACTGTTTCTGGTGCTTGAGCGAAAAAAAGGCAGCTGTTGCCTTGGATGTTTAAGTGAACCTTGGTGTATGACACTTTCGATTTGTGCTTGCCATCCTTCAACTCTCAACTCTTTCTACACTCCCCCTGCATCAGGCCGCTTGGCCTTGATGACTTGAAAACTTTCAAAACTTGAGCTCTGCGGCCCAAACTGCCTCTTCCATCTGGTGAATTTCATTCACTGTGCGGTGTGCACCTTGAGCACGGTGTGTACCGTAGCAAATCAGAGCGTAAATTGACGCACGCTCTGTTGTTGTGGATCACTCCACCCCTTGGTCCAAACATTGAGTCGAGTGGACCTGCCCACATTTTGGGTGCAAGTGCTGCGCCAAATCGCCCGCCTGTATTCTCTCCTCGGTTTCACCATAAAAGTCATAGGTGGGAGATCAGTGGTATGCGCGTCCGCACCTTGTGGTGCACGCAGGTGGATCTTGATCATCATCATTCATCGGCCTTAGACCATTCTGCTTTGGTGTCGGCTTTGGCTCGGCCTTTGGTAGTGACTTTGGTGGCGCCGCCTTTGACTTTTCTTTTGCTGGAAGCCTGAGGATGGGTCACGTCATCATCATCATTTTCTTCTTCTTCTTCTTCTTCATTTCTTCCTTTTTCTTTTGAGGCCGGGAATAATTCCCGTACCAGCGTTGAGGGTTCGCCCCAGCTGGGAGGTTGAATCCACTCGCCTTTCGCAATTGAACTAAATCTACCATTGGTGACGTAAATTGAATTTCTTCTGGTAGCCCTTGTGGCCTTGGAAGGTTCGGTATATTTGGTGTGTCTTGTTTTTTTATTGCTTGAATTTGAATTCTTTGATTTTTTTTTTTTCATTGAGATATTGGAAACCTTTTTATGTTTGGATCTTTTATTCTTTCTTCAAGAAGGTAATTTCGGTATAATATTCTTATATATTTATTCGAATATTATATATTATATGCTATTTTTATAAATTTATAAATTAATTGATATATTATAATATTGAATAATTACTATATTTAAAATAATTTATTTCTTTAATAGAATATTATTGATAATATAAATATGGTATTACTATATAAATTAGGGTTTGATTAATAATTGATGTTTAAATAATATAATAAAGAAATATTAAATGAAATTAAACATATATATTTAATATTTAATTATATATTAATATATTTAAAATATGTTAACAACATATAAAATATATTAAAATAACAAAAATAAAATTCTTTATTTATAGATATTTTCGATGATAGTTGGCAGATTTAATCGAATATGGTCGATTATTATT